TCTACCGACATTACGCTATTACAGATTTACATGACTTGTTAATTGTCATACGGTTTAAGTAGTTATCCACTCTTCTCAAAGTGTAACATTCATTACCAATTTGATGTTGAAACTAACCCATTGATACCCAAAGACAAAACACTAGCTTCTTTCTAGGTGAACAGTTGGATGGTTTGATCTGCCAAATGATTTCCTGAAAGCCATTTGTCAAATTCAAATTTATTTATGAACTAAAAATGAATCACGAATTTTGGTTAATCTGTGAAATATCAGCCTGTGTGTAGGGTTAACGTATCCTGTGTCCTGTTCATCTTTTACTGTGTTAATGTGTATGCTTTTACTAGGATCAATATGTCAATTTATGTGCTTGATGTAAACACATGAAAGACTTATTCACGATTAACATCTAAGTAATTATGTGATTTCTCTGTTATATTCAGGCTGTCATCACAGAAGTAAAGGCTCCAGTTACACAACAGGGTATGAGATTCTTTAAGATATTGTTTTATAGCTTGTTAATATCTCTTTCCAACTATAGTTAAACTAAAAGTATGTAACCTATTTACCTGTTATTCAAATCTTCTGTAGATCCTGAAGCAAACCTGCAAATATTTCCTCCTAACAGCAATGCTGGTGGCAGGGGTTACCAGACTCTCACAGGCCCAAGTGGTATTGTTACAACTTACATCACACTCTGAGAAAATGATCAAGTGACAGATACCCAATAAGTATAACCTAATTCCCTGCATTTCTACATATATACAGATGGAAATGGACAACAATCTGCCAACAGTTGGAATGGAGCATTCAGCATCTCATCCTACACACAATACTTTAATGTTGATACAGATGATGTTGTGAACAGATTAACAAGTTCTTTATACCCCACTGGTGACTTTTTCAGGAAAATTGAAGCTAACCCAGATCTGTAAGTTTCATGATTATAAACTCCAGCTAAGAATCTTGAAATTAGGTGGTTATTAAATATTAACCTTTTTCTTCATACATATTTAGATATGGGCTCATCTGGATTGCTACCACATTGGTGTTTGTGATAGCTTCAGTGGGTAATCTTGCCACATATTTAATGATTAAAAAAGGCGATTCTAGTGTTGCATGGAGCTTTGATGTGAACTACTTCCAGGTGTCAGCCATTGCAGTGTATGGTTATGCATTTCTGGTCCCACTTGGTTTTTACTTGTTGCTTCAGTATTTTGGTTCAAAAGTTGGGCTTGTTCATTTGTGGTGCATGTGGGGATACTCTCTCTTCATTTTCATCCTCAGTTCTGTAAGTATCCATCTTTAACCTTGCTGAATAAACCGTTTGAACGAGACTAAATGACTATTTTACCCTTAGATTCTAACAAACATGTTTGGTAGGTTTTGTTGGTTATACCTGTGGAATTTGTGAGATGGAGCATCACGATCATAACAGGTGTCGCGTCTGCAGCTTTTGTTGGTTTGAATCTGAGGTCACATGTGGAGTTGACTGAGTTGACCCTTGTGTTGGTTGCTGCATGTGTGTTGCAGTTTGGTCTTGCTATTTTTATTAAGTCATGGTTCTTTCAATGAGGGAGTTACTATATAATTTTTTTTTTTTTTTTTTTTTTGCTTATTGCAAGTGAATTTTGGAAGTTGTTGATTGTAGAGATTGTGATAGTTTTATAGGCATCTTATAGAAATGGAAGAATGTGTTTTTGATTTGGATTTGTGTGTAAAATAGAATGATGCTTTTGGAGTTGGACATTATGTGATTTTGTAGCGTATATGTGTTAAGTTGGTTTAATGAAATTTGTATCAATGTTTAAACTCATAACTTTATATCTGATGAAGATTAACGGGATCTATTATGTGTATAAAATGAACATTTTTACTCTATAAAACAACGTTTGGAACATAATTAGTGCCTAATACAATCCTAGTAATTTCTCTAACTTGTACTTTAATTTAAACCCGATGACCCATCTTATAGTCATCAAGCCACTAATTATGGCCAAAGGCGTGATAATCGGATCTTGATTTTACCCGTGCAAAAAGAAAAAATAAATCTATAAAAATAGGTTCCAATAAGTCTCTAATAATTCTCACTCCCTTCTTGGTTGTCTATGAATGAATGATTACATGAGATCATATTATGATGATATTCCTTCGATCATATTATCATTTTGAATGTCTATGAATGAATGATTACATGAGATAATTCTGAGATGAATTGGTCAGTAAGCACTGTTCTTTCTGTGTTCATACTGAATTGGTACATGATAATTCTTCTTTATAAGTTCATATGTTCTTTTTGAGGGCATTTATGTTTTTGAATGTGTTTTGAAATTGTAGCATGCATGCAGACTTTACAAAAAGAAACAACCATCATTTTGCAACTGCACACTTCTTGTCCACATCTTCCTCTTTATCTCGTGTAATTCGAGCTCCCTCTGTTTCCATGAAAGCAAATAATGAGATGTCAAGGGTGAGAGATCCCATAGCATAATGAAGTTCTAGGCTAGACTAATTTGATACAATTTCTTTTTATAGTTTCCACAATTTTTTTTAACTTGATTTTTTAAAAAAGAACTTTGATTTTTCTAACTTTTTTACCGTTTCTATTAATAATATTTTTAGTTTCAGTTATACTTTTTTTTAACGTGTGTAATTTTTTACGAATTTTGTAGACATCGTTTGCAATACTTTCTTAATTTTTTTTTAATGTTTTTACAATTTTTTTTCTAGAATAAAAATGTTAGCTTCTGTTATATTTTTTTAAGTTTTTTTTAAAAAGTTTTATGTTTTCGTTTTTTACATGTTTTTTCGTATTCTTTCAATGTTTTAAGATTAAAATTATTAAAATTTTGGTGTTGAGACTATTTTCAGTTTATAAAATTAATTTATTTAAATTTCAGTTTACTGCAGCAATCTGCAGATGTTAAAAAACAAACATGCTTTTTATTATAGGCTGTAGTTGTTTGTTTCACCTCTTCTACTACAAAGGATTGCAGAGGTGGTATGCAAATTTCATAAATTTTCTCTTTGAAAAAACAAACAACACTTAAATTTACTTATTTGATGATGACTGATCAAAATATTGGAAAAATAGCATTGAGCATAGAAGAGATTAAGATCAAAAGAGTAGAAAAACAGATTATAGGAGTTGAAACTAACATTTAATTATGATAATAGATGAAGAAGCAGGAAACAATGAACTTCCAAGATTTTAGAACAGTATAATAATCAATGTAGTTTTTGGGCAATAGACGGGGTGGAGCTTCAACGTTTGCTTCCGCGCGGGGGGGGGGGGGGGGGGGGGGGGGGGGGAGGGGAATATAATATGTAAAAAAAATTATTAAGCAGGGAGGGCCACAACAAAAATTTTATATTTTTCAGCCAAAAATATATAAAATGAAAGTATGAGGGCTGTTTATAACTAAAAAATCAAGGGGGACCACAACCCCCCTTGCCCTTATAAAGCTCCGCCAATAGCAATAGTGCATGCTACTTTACACACTTTCGTTTTTGGTTTACTACAATGATACTAAATAACGTGAAAAGTATATTTGCGGAAGTTAACAAAATATAAATTTATTGCTACAAATTTGCAAAATATTCTTTATTAAATCTTAATTATTTGCATATGATCTGGTTTTATGTTCTAATCCACATAAACATTTCTTAGACAAAATAAAACGTTACCGTTTAAAAGTTCAGTTGCATGTTTGGGTACTAACCTCACATGGCATTTCATAATGGAAAAATAAGAGCACATATATGGCAGAAAGATGAAAGGTTGTTGCATAAATAAGTATTTGACCTTTCTATTAATAATAGTCACGATAATAAATTTGAAATTATTTTAATTTTAGAAAATTCCATGTCATGGGTGCTATATCATCATCTTATAGGTTCTAATTTACAAATTGTTTATTATCGGTGAAACTGAAAAGATATTAGTTGATTGTTATTGATGATAAAAAAAAACATATTTTGTATATTGGTACTTGGTAGATATAGCTAAGCATGTTGTTAGTTGTTGCAATAAATCATTGATTATGATGATGATATCATCAATATGAAATCAACTCACTTTATATTGAAAAAAGTAAAATGGATATTTCTTTAGCTTTTGGTAAATTGCAAAATTTTAAGAATATGACATCTTTTGCGTTTATTCGTATAAATATATAGCTATTGTGATGATGATATCATTAATATAAAGTCAACTTATTTATATTGAAAATGTCAAGCAGATGTTTCTTTAGCTCTTGGTAAATTGGAAGTTTCTTCGAAAATCAAATCTGATGTATATATATTGGTAGAAATAGCTAAGCAAGTTGTTATTAGATGCAATAAAAAATCATTGATTTTGATGATTTATATTGAAAATGTCAAGTGGATATTTCTTTAACTTTTGGTAGATTGGATATTATTAACCAATCAACATGTATTTACATAGATATTTCGTGAGCTTCTACTAAATCGGAAATTTCTTGGAAACTCACATGTTTCTCTATTTCTTTGTATGCTTCATTTCATTAAGGTGCTGAAAAGTGAAACCTCATCACATACCTTCTATCTCTTACAAATCAAGTGATCAATGGCATCTTCATCATCATCATCATCATCTTCTCAATCATGGAATCATGATGTTTTCCTTAGTTTTAGAGGAGAAGATACCCGCAAGACTTTTGTGGATCATCTCTACTCGTTTCTTGTACTACAAGGAATTGACACTTACAGGGATGATGAAACACTTCCTGGAGGCGAATTGATCAGTACATCCCTTATGAAGGCCATTGAGAAATCACAGATAGCTGTCATCATATTCTCTATAAACTATGTAGATTCATCGTGGTGCTTAGATGAAGTTGTACATATTATGAAATGCAAGGATACAAATGGGCTAATTGTTATGCCTATATTTTATGACGTGGACCCGTCTACAGTCCGAAATCAAAAAGAAAAATATGGAGAAGCATTTGCCAAACATAAGTTGGAGAACAAGAACAAAGTTGAATGTTGGAAAAAAGCACTTGTGGGTGCAAGTAGCGTCTCTGGATGGGAACTTAAGAACATTGCCAACGGGTAATGTTCTTCTTTGTTTTTGCACTTTTTACGTTTAAGATATGTGTGCTCTATAAGATAATTCTATACTTCAATATAAGCATTTAGACAAATGTTTTAATTATTCTTGATGATGTTAATGACCTTGATAAATAAGAGGCTTTGACTAAATCAATTGATCAGGTTGTTTAGTTAAAAGATATCTCAAGACTCAAGTCTTAGGATGATGGATAAAGCTCAAATTTAGTTACGATGGAATTTATTGAGTTCTACCTCCTAATTCCATACTTAACGCCTTGTTTGAAGCTACAACAACAAATTCATCTTGCTTCACTTTTTGCTTTTTGAAACTAGTCAATATTTCCCAAGAATATTGTTACAAACTTCATTTGGTATTAATTATTACGAGTTCTATATCGAATGTGAATTATGAAATGAGGGTTCTTAGTCTCCTTTTTTCATAGAACATGATACATAATATCTCTTTTATTAATGTGATTGATCATGTATTAATTATCCTTGTATATCCAATCTACAGACATGAATCAAAGGCTATCAAAGAAATTGTTGACAAAATTTCATCGAGGCTGCAACTAGTAACTTCAAGTACTGCAAATGAGAGATTGATCGGAATAGCACCTCGTGTGCAACGTTTAAAATCAGCCTTACAAATTGGGACATGTGGTGTGCGCATGATTGGAATATAGGGTGTTGGGGGTGGTGGTAAGACTACTCTCGCATCTTCTGTATATGATGAAATATCAAAAAAATTTGATGGTTGCTGTTTTATTGCAAATATTCGAGAGGAATCAAGCAGGCGTGGTTTGAAAGAATTAGAAAAAGAAATTCTTTCACAAACGGGAGCAAACAGTGTTGGAAGAGGAAGATCCTTAAGAGATAAGAAATTATGCAATATAAGGGTATTGATTATTCTTGATGATGTTGATCAACTTGATCAACTAGAAATGTTAGCTGGATCACCTGATTGGTTTGGTGATGGAAGCCGAATAATATTCACAACTAGAGATGAGCATTTATTAAAAGCTCACAAAGTTGTAGTACATGATGTTAGCTTGTTACATGGTGATGAGGCTATTGAGCTCTTTCACAAGCATGCATTTCGGGGTTGCATACCTATGGAAGAGTATGAGCAACTTTCAAAAGAGGTAGTCTCTTATGCCGGTGGGCTTCCATTAGCACTTACAGTTCTCGGTTCTTCTCTATGTGACAAAAACATTGATCAATGGAGGAGTGCATTAACCAGGATGAAAGAGATCCTAGATAACAAGATTCTTGAAAAGCTAAAAGTCAACTTTGATGGACTTACAAAGGTTCAAAAGATTTGTTCCTTGATATTGCATGTTTTTTTAGGTGGGAGGAAATAGATATGGCTATGGAGAAGCTTGATGCTTGTGGTTTTCATCCTGTTATAGGAGTAGAGGAGTTGAGACAAAAGGCTCTCATAACTATTTCGGATGGAAAGTTTGATATGCATGATCTAGTGCAAGAAATGGGACACTACATTGTTAGAGGAGACCACCCTAAGAATCCTGAAAAACATAGTAGAATATGGAAGAAGGAAGATGTTGAAAGAATATGTGCTATGGATGCAACAATGGTAAATTTTAAGCTAGCTTTGCATGATATACATGTATAAACAAACACTTTTAACCCAACATTGATACCTTTTGTTCCTCTTAACACAGGAACTTGACAAGATTGAAGCAATACAAGTTCATTACGATAAATTGCGAGTAGAATTATTTGAATCCGATAGACTTCGAGTACATGAAGAACCTCCTCTTCCTTTGATTGTTGCAAACATGAGGAACCTTAGGTTTATTCGGTGGAAAGGTGACCTTGCAAATCCATTGCTTAAGAAACTTTCACCGTGGGAGTTTTTCCTTGGGTATATTCAATGGAAAGGTGAACCAGTAAATCCATTGCTTAAGCAATTTCCACCAAAGGAGCTTTGTTGTCTGATATTGCGTGATGCCATGCAACAACAACTTTGGAATGGTTGTAAGGTAAATTTTTTTGTTTATCTAAGTCACAAATGAACCAAAGTAGGTGATGAATTATAGGCTTGACCAATCTAGAGAGTACATTGGAAGTAGTTAACTGAGTAGGAGCACATGGTTATGTTACCTATCATTGGTGTTATTAAGCAACTTCAGTTGTATTTAATAAACTAATAATAATTTAATAACTACCTATAGTGTAGAAAAATGAATACCTCTTTGTCTAAACAAATATATAAGAATCGATTTTGTTCTTTTTCTTAACAATACTACTTAATTATTTATGTAAGATTTCAATTTAAATCTTTCGCTTTGTTGATTATTAAACTTTGATATATTTTTAAGAGAAATTAAATATCTTCCTACATATCTTTCTATCCATCTTAATGATGGTACATGTCATTTTTAATGAAAATAAAAATATTTTAATATATTTGTGTGATGTCATCATTTAAAATATGTATGAGGATATATAAAAAGAAATATAGAATGATATTAATTTCTCTATTTTTAATTTGGGCTTAAAAATCTGTTATGATTTTGTTTTTGTTAAGTGATTTTTAGATATATAATTAAACAATCAAACACATCAAAATGATTTCCATTAGTTCTTTCTTTTGTCTATCTATCATCACATACAGAAATAATAAATATGTACCGTATACGCATTAACAATAAACCACTTCGAATGATTTCCGTCCCAACTTTTGTTAAATATGATATGAACCAAGTGGAGAAGTAGGATCGGGTCTACGAGAGGCTCAAAAAGAAAGCAGTGGTTGTTTCGCAATTTATAATTATTATAGTATCTTTATTATTTAGTATTTATCTAGTTGATTTTAGTTTCCTTATAGGGCTTCATTCTACGAGTATAATAGGAGAGTCAATACATAGGGTTAGGACCGGTTCTAAGAAGGCATGCAATGTTTTATATGTTTTCAATTTTGTGGAGATCCTTGAGTATATTAGGCCCCCTATCTTTTGTTCTTTACGCATTAAGTTACGAGTATTTGTGTTTGCCAATCCGGTTCTATCAAAATTCTTATCACTTTGATATGTTTATGACCTGTTTGCACTTGTATATGACAGGTGCTCCCAAATCTGAAGATAATGGAACTTTACGATTTAAATAACCTAATCATGACACCAAATTTTGATGGAATTCCACATCTTGAAAGATTCAAGCTTTGGAGATGTGAGAAACTAGAAGAGATTCATTCATCGTTTGGACGCTTGGACAGGCTTGTTTGCTTATCTATAGTGCTTTGCAAGCGTATTAAGAAATTTCCATCCATTACCCGACTAAAGAAACTCAAGACCCTTTCATTGCACGTGAGCCCCGAAGTTATTGAGCTCTCAGAAATCCAAGAGAAGATGGACAACTTGTTGGGAGAAGAAGACATCGGTTCTTCTGTTTGCCAATTATCCAACTCGAACCACATACGGTTATATATGTTTTTTTCGTAAAGACTTGAAAGAACTGGATCTCAGTTGGTGCAATTTGGGAGATGAAGACATCAGCTCTGCTGTTTGGGAGTTACCCAACTTGCAAAAACTCAATCTATCAAAAAATAAGTTTTCACGATTAAACTTTAGTTTCATGCGAACTCCTCGGCTCAAATTGCTCAACGTCTCATTTTGCTCAGACCTTGTAGAATTATCAGAGCTCCCATCAAGCATAGCGATTGTTGAAGCGTATGGTTGTCCCTCACTTAAAAGCTTTGGAGCTATTTCACACTGCAAATGGCTGTGGAAATTCTCGCTTCGTGGGGTGTACAATTTAGATCCATTTGTTGGTTACATGTTACTAGACTCCATGCTCAAGGTTAAGCTCTACTTACGCATATTTTGCAATTTCAATCATTCTTTATTTCAATCGTATGTTTAATTTCCATGCAGGGGCATGCTATTGAAGATCACCTTATCAGTGTGATTCTTGATTATGAGATTCCAAAGGAGTATGTACTTGTGGGCAGGTTGTTACCCACGATGGATGTCCGAATATTAAAATAAGCATTAAGGAGGAGAAGCCAGATGAAGATCTTTCATTTAGGTTTTGGCATGAGTCTAATTATAATGCAACGAACCATTGCCGAATAACATCTACATACGTGGGATATGTTTCCTTTAATTCATTGAGACTCACAGCTGCGTGCTTCAACTTGAATTCAGTATACAGTGTGATTTTAGTTTCCTTGCGCCAGAGTTGGAGTACTGCTTCTCAAGCTGCAAATCGAATAGGAGTTTCACTCGTTCCTAAAACAAAACGTAAAGATGATCCGATGAAAACAGCAAAAGATTCCTCGGATTTTGGGGATGAGAAAGATAAATCTAGTCCGATTTTTGCGATCAAACATGGTTCAAACTCATCTATTAAGATCTTGTGGCGACCTCTTAATTAGGATTTAGGACAACAACCTCGAGAAAACCGGACAATAGGGGCATATTAATTAATGATAATCTTTGGGTATTATGTAGCCTTGTTACAAAAAAGAAACAATTGCATTTTTGATGGGTTATTATTTCCTGAAAAGACGATTTTTTTTTTTTTTTTTTTTTCTTTTTTTGCATGAAGCTTATATAGTGACTTACTGACTTGCTATAACCCACCGGCCATAAGTCCATAACAATTCATGAATGCAATTGCAAAGAGTGTTTTTCGAAAAAAATAAAAAATACAATTCGAATCAATAAAAATAACTTAATAACCGAATAACAATGTCTATATGGTATAGTATGGTCTTTTAGCCAAGCCCTTTTGTAAAACCCAAAGTTTTACTTTCTTTTTAGAGAAAGCCATTGTAATTTGAGAAACTTTTATATTTTTATAATTATGTTATCATTATATTGATATCATTGATATTTATTGGTATGGTATTCTTATTATATTATTATTGATATTTATGATTATAATAATAATAATTATTATTTGTTTTAGAAAAACCGATAAAACCACCATTTCCGAAATACCGAAAAAATAAAAAAGGAATTATAGAAACAAACCAAGAAGCCGATAAAAATCTCAAAAAATTATGATTTGTACATGCTATGGGGAGTGAGACATAGGGGGCATGCACAACATGCTTATTAACATAGTAAACACCACCCTATCGGTGGTGTCATTGTCGTTGTTGTGAAGAGTCGTAGTTGGAACCACAATATTTGATCGGGGTTTTTTCTTCTCCAACGGTCATATAACCGTTTAAAATATATTTATTTATTTTTTATTTTTTAAATATCTATAAATACCAACTACCAATTTCATAAAATTCATTCTTTTTTACTCCATACTTTACACAAACACTATGGAAAATTATTCAACATCATCTTCGGATGAGGACAATATTGTTTTTCCATGCTTTCCTTCAAGTTACTACTACATACAATGTTTCATGTACTAGGTGAAAGTTCAAGTAGGAGATATCTAAATAGGGAACATACAATGTTTCATGTACTAGGTGAAAGTTCAAGTAGGAGATATCTAAATAGGGAACATGAAGCTGCAAACGAACATCTTGTATGCGACTACTTGTCAATGATTATTTGTATGATAAGGATACATTCAAGTATCATTATCGTTTGAGTAGATATTCATTTATGCTTATCACTAATGATTTGAACGATAATTGCACGATCTTTGAATTGAAATGAGATGCTAGAGGTAGACGATGGTTTACTACAATACAAAAATGTATGATGAAACTTTTGCATTTGACATATGGCATGACTCCGGATGCCATAGATGAATATGTGAAGATGTCAGAGAGATCAGCATGAGAATATATTTATTTATTTTGTGACTACGTGATAGAGCTTTATGGTCACATATATTTGCCACAACTGACGAGAAGTGATTTTACAAAATTAAATGTGGTACATAGTGAAAAATATGGTTTCGTATGAAGGATTGGACACATTTATTGTATGCATTGAGTATGAGAAAGTTGTCTGAATGCATGGCGAGGTCAATGCGCGTACGATGATCAAGGATATCCTATGATGATGCTAAAGGCGATGGTGTCACACGATCTATGGTTTTCGCATGCATAGTCTGGTATGCCAGGGTTAAATAACAACCTAAATGTTCTTGGTACATTGTTGATATTCAACCAAATTTTGCACGGCAAAGCACCTAGTTATCTTTTATTGTGAATAGAAATAAGTACAAGTGTGGTTATTATATTGGTGATGAGATATATCTGGAGTACGCTATATTTTCCAAATCATATCCATATTCACAAGATGAGAAAAAAAATTGTTCAAAATAGCACAAGAAGCGACACAGAAGGATGTTGAATAAACGTTTGGAATCATAAAAGATAAGTGGAATGCATTTAAATACAAGCACAAACTTCGTCATGATTTGACGATACATAAAATAACAATAATATATGGATGATGATGATGATGATTCACTATGATGAGGACGATGGTCATGATGATGATGATGACAACGACTAGAAATTACTGTTTTATTTTTAATTATGTTATTTGTATTTTTAATTTTGTAATTTTCATATAACATTTAATTTTAATTTATTAAATGTTATATTAAAATAAATAAAAATTTAAATTATATTAGTGAGGTGGAGTGATGACCATTTTCCATTTCCATAAGATCGTGATAGGAAAATAGTAGGAAGTAGTACTAATGTGATGACGATGTGAATGCATTTTTTGAGTGGTCAAGTGGTGACCACTCTTGTGTGGATGTGCATAAAAATCAGTTCAACTTAAACTGATCCAAGAGGAACCCATCCGTCGGTTTGTATTGGTTTGAGGATATAGCCGTTGGCACCGATTTAGTGGAAATGGTTTTAACAGTGTACTTTCATTACCTTTTTTGTTTTATTCTAACGTTATTATAGCAAACTACTAAAAAACTCTCTTAAATAAAAAAATGCTCTCATTTCAAGAAATGGATTTGGATTCCGTTGGTGTTGAATATTCATCGAGCAATATTACTGTTGTTTCCATCAAAGAAACAAATTAAAACCCAAAGATACGGTGCTATTATGATTTATGTATAATGTCGAGCAGTCCAAATAAAGCGTGATGCAAGAAATGTGGTGCCTTTTTCATGGAAGAAGAGAATTCAACATTGAAAACTCTTATAAACAAGAGATGCCCATCGGGAAAATTTGGGTCGATGTATAATCAAACAACGAAGACGAAAGATTCTACAATGTGGAATTACGAGCCGTCTAAAGTTTGGGATAGGATGACGAATTTTTTTATTCAAGAATGCTTTCCTTTTGACCACTTCAACAACAAAAGATTGACTTTACTCATCCAAGAAGTTCTCCAACCACGATATTGCCATGTGAGTTGTACTTCCCTAAGGTGCAAAAGTATCTAAATATGGAAACTTACAAAAAATGAATACTTTTAGGATTTCAAGTTCTAGAAACTGATGTAAATTTAACTTGTGATGTTTGGATGACTCCTCACACTGCACCAGATGTGTGCCTTTGTGTTACCGTTCATCGGGTAAATCCCAAAACTTGCGTAATGATGAAGCATACAATTACTTTTGAATCGTATGAATACCTGCACATCGGTGTAAATTTATATAAAGTTTTATGAGATCAAAACTTATAACATTCAAGGAAGAGTTTTTTCTGTATTTTTTTGATAATGCATCAAACAACACCTTCGCGATTGGACAACTAAAAGTAAAATATAAACCGATTTGCGACAGGGTTTTTTTTATGCCATGGTTGATGTGTTGCACATGTCATTAATTTGGTTATGCAAGATGGACTATCTAGTATTGAACTTGTAAAAGATGCTTTCAAATAAATGCTAAAGATTATTTATAGTTCTAATAATGTCCAATGTCATAATTATATGAAGTTTTGTGCCCATGAGGATGCCCTTAGGTTAGGTCAGGTCAGAATTGGGACGTACCTACTCAATGAAACTCTACTTGCAACATGTTTGAATGTACCTTGCCTCGAAAAGACACTTTAAAAATGTTTCATGACAATATTGTAGAACGTAATAGGGTTACGATTTATCCGGGGTCAAGTTGGGATACTATCAAACTTGTTTTGGAAATGTTTGGAGTTTAATAAAAACTACTTTGTATTTGGGGTTTTATTATCATACAAGTTGTTTAGTTTTAAATCAAATATTTTTAATGTGTTCGAAAATAAACGAGTTTGAAATTAGAGGCGTGATGTTTGTTAATATGGTGAAACCGATGAAAGTAAAATTTAAAAATATGCCCCCTGTTGTAACTTGTGTTGCTACTTTGAACGAATTTAAATGTTGGAGGGTTGAGACTTTACTTGAAAATATTTCTTATGATTTGGGTTTTACTGGAAGATGACATAGATTTTGCATGAAAGCAAATTTTAAATTTTAACAAAGTTTGTTTGATGTTTATTTAATAAAATATAGTTCAACAAACATTCAATGACATGATACGAAATACGAGGAATCCCTGTTCCACTTCTCACAAAAATAACCAAACAATTCGACTCTATAATGCTTTAAGGAATGAAAATACCAAACGAGCTCGGTTTAACACCTCTATAGAGACCTCAGATGGTACATTCGTTCTGATTTTTTGGCATATATATAAGTGTGCAAGAGTTTGAGAATTTTGATGTTTTGGCTTGATGGAAAGAAAATGAATCCCAATTTTCAGTTCTAGCAGCTATATCCCCTTTCTTGGATCTTGTAATAGATTTTCAGTTCTAGCCGCTATATCCCCCTTCTTGGATCTTCCAATAGATTTTATCTTTAATCTTGTAATAGAGTTCATTCATAAGGACTAAGAGTCAAACCGTGATGAAGCCTGATGTCTCCATATCGCCAATTAAACTGTAGGGTGTACTCACACCTCACCACTCACTTTTTTAGTGCTACATTAGCTTTTCACTCGCTCATCAAAAAACAAAAATGGTCACCTTTCACTACCTTCACTTTTATTTTTTAAAAACTAATAATAAATTAATCTTAAAGTTTATAATTCAAAAAATAAATAAAACTAATTAAAAATCATTGATAAAAACAAATTTTAATAAGAAAAATAGAAATGTTTCATTACTTGAAAATAAGAAATTACATAATAAACCCTTAAAAGCATCATTAAAAATTACACAACAAAAAGAATAAGCCATTATTAAATAAGTACATAACTTTGAATCTTCGTCCTCATCATCCAAATCCTCACTTGAGTCCTAAGTGAACATATCCGGATCTTCATTTGATTCATCAAACAAATCATCATGTTGATACTCGACCTCGAGTTGTATGTGAGCCTTGTAAACGTGGTCCACCAAATCTGCACGAAGGGAGTGATGTAACCTCCCCCTCTGGTACGTATCACTATATTGTGCGCTTTGCGCTACTCGGCACGAGGACTTCCCTAAGGGTCACCCATCCCAGTACT